ATATAAATTTTGTAATTTAAAATATTTTTATAAAAAAATGTTTATGTTTAGAAGAGTAGAACAAATTATTTTCATTTTCAACTGATTATTTCATTTTTATCTTTAAAATCTCGTCCTCTTTCAACTGAAACATTGATTTTTATTACAATCACAACTCGTTGTAGCTAAATAATTTTCAACTCCGAATTGTTTTGATTTTGAAATTCACAAGCTTCTGTTATTGATTTATTATTGATTATTCATATATTGTACAAGTTTTTTGAAACTTACAGTATATAAATGGAACTATATATATCAATAGCTCCGATTCGCGCTGGTAAATCGACGCATTAGAAAATATACAATTTTGTAAAAAAAAAGGAAGAAAAGGGGGAGAGAGAGAAAATAGCCTATTTTTCGTAGAAATAATATAAAAAGTCGCATAATAAAAGTAATATCCGTGAAATATCAAAGTAGTCGTTAAAAAAATAACGTTGATCTTGAATACACGTAAAAACGAGAAGCTTTCTTTAATCATTATATCGTTCTCCCAAAAAACGAGTATTATTGTACAAAGTATATACTAATATATTAAATATATGCATAGTACGCAAGTTACACTATTAATTTGCATACTACGCACGCAATTTGGGGGAAGGTACAATGTTAAATGTGGGTCGTTTATTCTGCGCACGATGAGAAACTTACTCGCTATATGTCGTATGGTTGTGCCGTGTTTGTAATTATAACAATTTATATGGAAATTACATATATAATTATTAGAGCGCGCGTTATTAGCTTCGGGAAGATATAACGATGAGGAATTATATATCTACAAAATTTTTTCGTTTAGCCATAAAACAGCATTAATGGATGACTCGGTGCCTCATTTTCGCAATATTTTGAGATATTTTTCGTTTAATTCGATCATTCGCAGCAGATAGCGTCTTTTATTCATTTACATATCATCAATATTAATATTTCAGATAAAATTATTTAGTACGAAAAGATATACAAACGTTTTTATCAGTTCGGATGCAGAGATCTTTTCAGAATAACAGTTTTTTCCGGGATTTTTTAAAATCTTAATTAAATATTATAATATATCATTATATTCAGAAAATTATTATTATCATCCCTGCTTACCAATATTTTCAAAACATATCGAAATTAAATTGACTCAAGAATTAAGATAAGAAGGACATATATCTTGTGATCTTGAGACATCTTGCATCTTATAAGCTTTGGATTAAATGTTTTAAATAGTTTTATTTTTTACATATATACTCTTTTATATACTCATTTTTGCATAAAATATCAGAATAATTACCAATGTATTTTTGGATTCTGTTTAAAGAAAAGTGTTATTGCTTTTGATAAAATATCAATCATCAAAAATTTTTCCGTAACAAAAAAGAGCATACGATATCATGTATGCTTCCGGAAACTAAATAGCACATTTATCTGAAAAAATTATTTATAATTGATGATAAATAAATATTATTTCATCAGCGATGAGAAGATAAAAATGTTACATGTTACATATTATCTTCGCTTAACTTAGAGCACGATTTTAGCTATATTATCTAAGATTAATTAGAATTACAATATTATATGTACATAAAAAGAGATGTTGCATTGGCACAGCAAAGATGTGTGGCCCGGACTGCCATCCACAGCGCTCTCGGCAAAAATTATTCTATCATTAATTAATACATGATTTTTATGATGCGTTTGGATTTGAGGTATTCGCTTTCGTTGTGCTTTCTCAAATAGTCGCATGCTAATTAAGAAAAAATACACATGTCATTTCATTAAAAAATATTTAGTTATTGCACGTCGCGATTATTTTCATACTAATTTTGTGTTGCGTTTAAAATTTCTTCTCCCATGTATACAAAAACAGCGCGAAAATAGAACATTACAAAAACTTGATGAAAAATGCTCTCTAATTTATGAGAATGTAAAAGCTTTTATAACTGATTCGATAGAAGCAGTCTGAATCGGATCAAATTATTTCATCGGATATTTCATAGTTTAAAGCTAAATTAAAAGTCTGCAAATTTCTCGCATGCGAAAACTATCATATATTTGTTCGAATAGTACTGTAAAATTATATTGAATATTTTTCAATATTGCAAAATATCTACTCGATTAATTAATTTAATTAATTAATTAAACGATCGGCGTTTTCCACGTATCGCTTTAAAACCGGGATAATATTTCCGGTCTACGTAAAGAAATACGATAAAATAGAATAAATGATTTAAATCTTTATCGTTTTTATCTTTATTCATAGTATGAATAAAAAGACATATTAATTATATTAATTATCTACATGTATTATATCGACTTCCTTGCAGCGCCGTACACTGCCAGGTCAGTATTTATTAAACGGTTGGCAGTCCCGGCTTTAATGGAATGTTACGGTTACATTATCTAATTAATGCGAGCGATATGATCTACAGCTACCGCGTCACGTAATTATACTGTCTTCGTTCGTGCCTCGTGTGTGTTCGCCACATTGTTCTTTTCTCTGTCGCAATATACTAATAAGTATAATAATCTAAAATTATTAAGCCGCCCAATTTCAAAATAAGTTTATTATTAACAATATTGCTTTCTGGTGTTTGCAAGATGTGTTGTATTTATTTTTATTTTAATCCTTCGAAAACCCAGCTGTTTAAAATTATGTACATTAATTCGTGACTCGTAATGTTCGCCAAATATGTTTTGCTTTCATTTCTAAGAAACGCACATTTCTTGATACTTATATCAAGTAATTGTTGTAATATACTTAATCATTTTATACATTTCTATGTGATCACCTTAGCTAATAAAAGCAAAGTTTATCAAATTAGAGAATAATCTTGTTTAAAAAATCATATTCAAAGAGCTTATATATATATATATATATATGTATATATATTCTTTTTCAAATTATCTGAAATGCACAAGCTTTTCTGTGTAAAAAATTTAACGATCAATATCATTACAAATTACCATTTTTTGTTAATATAAATCTATCTCTCTCTCCCTATTCAAAAATATTTTTATATATTTTTATAAATTATATCATTTACTATATAATTAACATGTAACAAAAATAGAATTATATGCAGTTTAAAGAAACTATTTTTATCAATAAATAACTTGTCAGTATCATAAAAATAGAATGAAAATGGACAGTTTATCAAATGTATCACACAAGTGTGATATCTATAACATGATTTGATTATACTATACTTTTTTTCGTCAGATTTTTTAAGTAGGATAGTTCTTGTTTGCTTAATTATAGCGATTTAAAATCCATCTTTTGATACTTTGATGAAGCAGTATTTTCTAGTTATAATAGTTGATTCTAATGTGTTAGTAA